TCACTGCATTGTTTGGCTGTACAGTAAATACATTTCATTATCAAGTGAAAACTTAACGTAATCAGCACACTTTTTTTTTTCACATGTCCTGCGCTGACTGTTGGACAATTCTGTGGAAATCTGCGGAAAGGTTTTAAATATGACAAAATGTTTTTGACAAAGCTGGAAGTACTAGGAATGCACAATATTAAAATTCTGGAATTTCATTATCAAGTGAAAACTTAACGTAATCAGCACACTTTTTTTTTCACATGTCCTGCGCTGACTGTTGGACAATTCTGTGGAAATCTGCGGAAAGGTTTTAAATATGACAAAATGTTTTTGACAAAGCTGGAAGTACTAGGAATGCACAATATTAAAATTCTGGCTGATGCTGATACGCCGTTAATTATTTTAATAATATTTATTACATTTTATACTATTTTGAAAACAAAAGTAAAATATAATACACACTACAATAGTTTTAAATGCTTCAATTTAATTTAGGCATCACAACATTATAATAGATATTCATAAAATGTATATTCATATTGAGATCTGCTAAAAAATTATGCAGTACATGACAGTGCTACAAGACTAGATGACAGTGAAATGTAATGCAAATGTAATCTAAATGAAAAAACAGGTGGACATAAATATAAAACTGACAGATGTACACTACCATTTAAAAGTTTGTGGTTTTTAAAAAATTAATACTTTTATTTCGCAAGGATGCATTAAATTGATCAATAGCGACAGTAAAGATTTTTTTTACAATGTTACAAAACATTCTGTCATTAATGCTGTTCTTTTGAATATTCTATTCAACAAAGAATACTGAAAGAAAAATCACAAAAATATTAAGTATGATAATAATAATAAGCACCAAATCAGCATATAAGAGTGGTTTCTGAGGAATCATGTAACACTGAATTTTAGCTTTTCCATCAAAGGAATTAATTATAATTTAAAAATATATTAATACAGAAAACAGTTGTTTTAAATTGCAATAATATTTCACAGTATTACTTGAGCATAAGAATCATCTTTCAAAACCATAAAATAAATCAGACTCAAAACTTTTGAATGGTAGTGTATCTAATCTTAACTGAAACTGATAAATGAATAAAAAACCCTTACATTACTACTGATATGGTGCCAATATATTCCAGAACTAAACTTGAAGTAGCTGAAAATGTGGATGCTTTCAGAAGACCCCTGCACTTTTTGTTGGGGTCCTGTTCACACTGTCTGGGATATTTTAATAATATTCGGCTGATACATTGCATTGATCCGGTGTCAACTTCTGATAGCTCAAAGAAACAACACAAACAAAGACTAAAATCTGCACACTAAGTTTCCTTATAGAATGCACAAATGCCTGCAATTATAACACTGGAGCATTGCAATTTATACATGCTGACATGAAGATAATACTTAGCACAGAACCATAAGAAGTTCCATTCGCTCAATAATTCATCGGACTGGTACTGAACGATGGTGTTAAGTAATAGCTGAGGTTTGCCATTTTGAGGCATTTCTACTGTAGTATTCTAATATCCTGTATTCTACTGTCCCACTACTGCAAGTGAGGTTCTGAACAAAAAACATATCAGGTGTCATCTGAGGTGACTAACCATAAAAGTATGAAGGGCTCATCATCTGCAGTGATTACAGTCAATGAGACAAAATAAATGACAGCCTGGAGATCAATAAGAATACTATTTAAGTGGTGTTGTGAGTTAAAAAGGACAACATATGCAGAGAACTGCGTGCGTGCACATTCATTTAAAAGAGAGAAGTGCAGACAGCTTGAGCATGAGATTGAGAGAGAGACAAGAAAAAATGATGAGGGAGATAGAAAGAAATTATTAAGCAAAAGAGGGAAGGAGAAAGAAAAAAGAAAAAGAGTGGCTTTAAAGGGGTCATATGATGCGATTTAAAATTTTCCTTTCTCTTTGGAGTGTTACAAGCTCTTGGTGCATAAAGAAGATCTGTAAAGTTGCAAACACTAAAGTCTCAAAACCAAAGAGATATTCTTTATAAAAGTTAAGAGTTTTTCCTCCAGCACTCTAGGATGGTTTTCAGTGGCATTTTATTTATAATTGAATGTAATGTGGGAAGATAAAGTCAGCTCAATATGGCCTGCCTCTCCTAAGCACTTCACGCCGCATTACATTTTATTAATCAAATTAGTTTTACTTGGGTTGGTGTCCCCTGAGCCAGCTTTAAAAGGTTTAGATGAAAGGACTACATTAATTTATACCACTAATCGGTTACACAAGAGCTGTACTGACAGTTCTCCCCTCCCTCCCTGTGTCATAAAGTCCTCCTTACATCCCATTTCCATTCACATAATCCCTCCACACAAAAATTAAGAGAAGAAAAGAGACTCTGGCCTCCTTCTCCTCTGATACCATTTGTTAAATCCTGCTGCATTGTGGGTATTATCACCCTGTAAAAACTGCTAATATGGTTAGGAAAAATGACTCATAGTCTCAGATTTTCCTCATTTGTCTGTTTAAGGCTTTAAGCAGCACATTGAGGATGGAGAAAAGTACAGGAATGAATGAGAGTCCAAAGCCATTGGCTAAAATATTCCCAAACATACAAAATACTTTATTGTGAGAAAATTATAGGTTACTGATCCAAGGTGGAACACCTGGGCACTTCAGAGCCCACTCAAGTTTACAATCCAAAGACAAATTACTCAATCCAATAATTAATTTAGCAAGGAGTACACATCAAGAAGTGTTAGAATCAGAGCGCGGTTTAGAATGGTGAGTGGTGACACTTCTCATCCAAAACCTTCCTGAGATCCGCTCTCTTCCTCTTAGCTCTTGCCCACCTCTGTGCCCGACTCCTAGAGGACTCCTAGAGGAAGGAGGGCCCCGAGTAGCCACGCGACTCTACTGATCCTTGCCTATGATCCTAAGATCGAGATGGACCAGCCCCCTCAGAGGTTTTAGAGGAAGACTTGGGACGGCGGGGAATAAACTTGCTGAAGGCAGCGGACTGCACCTTTGCCTCCCTGAACTTCTTGACCACCGCCTCAACAGAAGTGCCAAAAAGCCCAGAAGGTGAAAGCGGAGAATCAAGAAGAAAGGCTTTCTCCTTCCTCCCGATGTCTGCAAGATTTAACCACAAATGCCTCTCCATAGCCACCATTGCTGCCAGCGCACACCCAATGGCAGCAGCAGTCTGTTAAGTCTGTGGTGCGGCGCAGCTCCTCAACTGTCTCAGGGGGACAAACCCTTGCCCTCATCTAGATCTCTAAGCAAGTCAGCTTGGTAAGCTTGTAAAACAGCCATTGCATGCAATTCTCTTTCAGCTTGACCTCATGCTGCCACATTTGCCCTGCCATTCAGATGCAATGTGGTCTGAAGAGTTCTTGATGGCAGAGCAGGAGTCTTTAAAGAAGACGACTCACCCTCGGAGAGCTTGTGAGCATCTCCTCTTCAGGGGGCATCTTCGCATAACCGTGCTCAGCCACATCCTCAACATAATCCACATGCTGAAAAAGATGCAGCCGAGCAAAATATGGTCTGTCCCATGATCTCACTAACACCGTGTGGAGTTCAGGAAGAAAGGGGAGACTCCTGGGGGAGGGGAGGTCATGGGCGGCCAGAAAGTGCTCGTCTAATCTGCCACGGGCAGGCTTCTGGCTTTTGCATGAAACAAGCCTCTTAATGGTGCGCGCCATTATCTCCAGAATTTCCCCGCATGAGGGGCTGAAGTTAGGTTGGGAAGATTCAGTGCTCACACATTCATCGCCAACTACATCCATGTCCTCACTCTCTCTAGATGAGCCCAATATAGCGCTATCCGTGGGTATCAGTTGATTCAAGAAAAAGAGTACCTGGATCACGCCGAGCGCTCGAGCACTTTTGAAAAGTCCATATCCTTCTCAAACTTTTCTGCAAGCTCGATCTCCAAACCCCACGATATGAGTCTTTGCCGTGCTTCGGCAGCAGCGGGACCCGAACCGCAAGACGCAGATGCTTGTCCCTCAAACGCAAACGATTTTTTCACAATGAGGGCATTCAGAGCCCTTAGGCAACGAACGTTCGTGCTCCTCACAAAGACACATAACGCATAGATCATGATTGTTCTCAGGTGTCAGAAACCTACAACGCTCACTTGCCTTGGTTTTATGCATAAAGTCTTCACATGCTATTAGTGAAAGTGAAAGTGATGTGATGTGTGGCCAAGTATGGTGTCCCATACTCAGAATTTGTACTCTGCTTTTAACCCATCCAAGTGCACACACACAGCAGTGAGTAGTGAACAAACACACACACCCGGAGCAGTGGGCAGCCATTTTTGCTGCGGCACCCAGGGAGCAGGTTCGGTGCCTTGCTCAAGGGTCTTACCTCAGTCGTGGTATTGAGGGTGGAAGAGAGCGCTGGTCATTCACTCCCCCCACCTACAATCCCTGCCGGTACCAAGACTCGAACCTGCGACCTTTGGGTTACAAGTCCGACTCTCTGACCATTAGCCCACAACTAAATTTTTAAGACCACCAAGAAGTTAAGGTAACACTGGCTTCTTCCTGTGTTTACATACGGTTATCACAAACACAATGTCGTTACTGAAGCAGAACACAAGTCTATCTCTCATTCTCGACAAGCCCTGCCAAGCTGTCATCTATAAGAGCACATATCTTTCCTCTTATCATGCAATTAAGCATGACATGCAAAAAGTGGGGAGGAATTTGTAACTGATTTCCAAAACTGGCATTATGCCAGTGTGAAAGATATTTCTCAGAAAAATAAGTTCTGAGAGTTCTTGAATGTACGAGGCTTCGTTACACATGGCAAAAATCAGTGAAGCGTAGACAATTTTTTGTGCTTGTGTTTTTGGTTCTGTTATTCACAGTTGAGCAAACAATGTGAATATCAGATGTGTACGTAAAAGATGAGGAAATACTGGTGAGTTAAGACTTTTTTGTTGCATTAGTGAGATGTGGCCTTTTCAACAATGAATGAAGTGATGCTGATGAGAGAAAGGTTGCTACTCACTTCAGAAGGGTACGTGGTGGAAAGCAGAAGGTACCATGGAAGATGCGGTCGATGAAGTTGAGTGAAATCTTCTGAATCTGCTCACAGTTAAGCATGACAAAGTCATATTTGCAGATGAGGAGGGTGTTCTCTGTGATGAGCACCAAACGCTCTTTCTCATTGTTCCAATGATCAATCCTACACAAACATGAAAACGGAGGGAGTATTAAAAATGTGGATATTACTTGTAAAGATGCACAATATTAAAATTCGGGCCAATGTCAGAGTCATAGCCTTGTGTTGCCATAGTTTGAGTCCTGGCTTGCAGTCCTTTCCTGATTTTATCCCCCTCCTTTATTGCTTCCTGTCTCTAGTTCAATCTTATAAAAAGCAAATAACTGATAAATGACCAACATTAGACTATTTATAAAACATAAATTAATAAAAAAATTACATTTAATACATTTCTAAATAAATTAAACAACTGAAATTCAGTTGTCTTAAATGCTACAAGTGGATTGCAATTGCAGCATTATAATGTACAGCATGAAAAAAATATTTTCATTTTAAGATTTGAGGATTAACCAGTGTTGGGAAGGTTACTTTGGAAATGTAATAGGTTACGGATTACAAGTTACCCTATTTAAAATGTAATAGTAGTGAAACTTTTTCAATTACTTTATTAAAGTAATGTAACTTTTCTAAATTTCTAATGAATGTTTATTTGCAACTGTTAATCATTTTCAAACATTTACACCAGGCAGGGTTAACCTTACAGTAGTGCACAACACTGTCAGACTTTCAAAATCCTTCATCACTTGAATTAAGATGATCAAATTTGAACACATCCACCACAAAATCAGACTTTAGTACCGCATTTTACTTTGAGATTGATCTGAAGTTCAATGCAGATTAGGAAACACTGCATCTAACAATGGTTTGGAAAAAAAATTGTTAATTAAAAAATAATAATAAATAAAAGCATATACATCAACTCAAATACTTGTTTGTTCATTAACATTAAATCCTTCAGTTGGGGACATGCAAAATAATTAAAGGGGTCATATGATGCGATTTCAATTTTTCCTTTCTCTTGAAAAATCTGTACGTGGATGTGTGTAAATATTCAAATGTAATTCCGTTTGTAATCGTTAACATTTTCATAAGTAACTGTAATTTAATTACACATTTTTTCTTAGTAACTGTAACTGATTACAGTTACATTTATTTTGTAATTAAATTACGTAATGCCGTTACATGTAACTAGTTACTCCCCAACACTGGGATTAACAATGTTATTAAATTATTAATATTTTTAAAGATTAACATAATCACATAACAGTAAAGGTAATCTAAATGTATACATTTATATATCCCATATTGACGACAACTATAAACAAAACAAAACAAAAATCTCAACTGATATGATACAGATATATTGTTCATCTCTAATTACTCTGGTGTTGGAGTATTTAAGAATGCTATTAAATCTTCATTTTGTAAAGTAATTATTTAACGGTGCTGTATACAATTTTTTTTTATGGAATGACTCTCATAATATCTGTCTGAACTAGATGTTCTGAAATATCACCTGGTAGTTGAAGCGGATCAATCACTTAAGCACCATATTCAACTCCATAAGCAGTTGTCAGTTTGTCATGCAAGAATTCTGCTACTGCTGCTTTTGACTACTTTGACAACACTCAGATGACATGCTGTTGCTCTCCTGCTTCACAATGAAATATGTCTCAATGGTACAATGGTATGTTTGTGGTCTGGCAGGAGTTCCAGAGTGGCTAATATTGTTTACAGCACCTTTCATTAACATGAGTTTAATTCTCTGGAACATGTTAGCAAGGGTCCCCTACTGGGCCCGACTGCAGACCTCTGCTGTGGTGTATACAGTACATCAATGTAACTACACTGGCCTACATTCCCACAAATCTATCGCTCACAATTCTTCCACAGCTTTGATCAAGCACAGTAGGATTCTAAAACAAGTTGTTGGACATATGTTAATTCACAGTTTGACATTAGTTTGGCACATTAGTATTAGTATCAATAGCATCAGTATTGTTTCTATTCCAGTTATTCTAAATGGCAACTTAGAGCAGGCTTTTTCTGGTCAAGTATGTTGATTCCCTTGCGAGGGACCCCCTGTCTAAAATGTTCAAATTAATGATTTGTAGTTAAACTGTCACATTTAAAGCAATTATTTGAATATTATGTGGAACATTTTTATTTTGTACTAAATTGTGTATCAGTGTATATTTTTTTCTACCCAATAATAGAGTACAGTTAAAGTACAAAAGTAAATTTTTAATTAAAATGTATTTAATGATGAACAATTTAATATTAAGTGTAAATAGTAATCCAATGAGAAAGGTGTCTTTAACTAAAAACTCATGGATACAACAAAAGCAAGCATTCTTTAATTTATAGGCCAAGTAAGAAGAGATAAACCTATTTCTTTATTTATTTTTTACAAAAATGTACACAAATGTAGATTTTCTCTCAAAATTTTCACAGGCCCCCTATCATGGGCCAGATCCGAGTTTGAAAACTCCTGGCTTAGGGAATCTTTTGAAACCTTAAATAATCTATGCATAGTGCATTTTATACATTTCAAAGACTAATCTATTGCAAATCAACCAAACAATCAATAGCTAGCTGCATTGCCTGTGAATTCTCTGCTGAGTTATTGTGAGTTCTTCTGCAAAATTTGTCTATAATCGTGTGGGTCTCAATTATATAGGCCCACATATTCTAAAAGCTTCAAAATGTAAAAAATTGCCTTTGCAAAATATGCATGCCTACATTTTTAGATCCCAGATATTATGTTCAGATAGAAATATGCGTTTTGTTTTTCAAAATACCAACGCTCATATAATTTGTCAGTGCTTTCACCTCAACTGGCCAATGAGAAGTTCATGTATGGAGAGCTTCTGCGCATTTCTCCTCACATCAGATTTGGACAGTGACATAAGCGGCACATGGGAATCTTAGTGCAACACAGGGCATTCTGGTGTTTAATTTAGGTACTTTTTACTTGTTGAGAAACTTATGACTAGGCAAATGTTTGAATTAAAACTTTTACATGGTACTGTAGATTTTTGTAAGAACATATTCTACATTGATTTTAAATTATGCACATAATGTGAGGACGCACATAGGGCAAGATAATGCATTTAAAGTTATGTGAATGTTTGATAATGAACAAATGTGGCATATGAGACTATTTAAAGCTACTTTAATGCAACTAACCTATGTATTATGCCTTTCAGGTGTCTTTGTTTTGACAGCAAAAAGCTATTTCCTACGTCTTCCATAAGAAATTTATACCAGTATGCATGAATTCCATGAACTTCATCTTTTGTTTCAAGCCTAATCTCAAACCACAGAACTGCTCAGGCATTGCTGGAAAAAAAAAACCGTCTGTGTCTGTGTGTGTGTGTGTGTGCACACACGTGAGTACCAGTCCGGAAGATGGGAAATATAATATATATTATTAATTATCATATAGCAAGGCCTTTAAACTGTTTCCTGTAAGCCTGCTCGGAGACAGATAGAAGTTGACATCTGCCAGCACATTTAGCAAAATGTCTTCTAGCAGCTCCATTCTGCTGCCTGTTTATTTAGTTTTAATTATTTACTGCACATTTGACTTATTTACAGAACACTGAGTGAGATAATGGACTGCGTCCCGTAGTGAGTGCTTATGTGACAAAAGTCCTGAATGAGATTTGCTTACTCCATGTGAATGTTGCACATTTGCAGAACAATCTACGCATAGTTATTTTAAAAGTACTCTTAACTGTGCACTCTTAACTAAGAAAACAACAAAAAAACACTTACTCAGCCATGAGCCAGACACTCTGGACTGCACCATCTTCTGTGGGAATTACCAGAGATTTAACATCCTCAATACCATGGCTCAATGTTCCAGGCTAAAATGTAAAAACACAACAATTCATCTTCATTAAGCATCTGTGCATTTGGTGCTGGTGGGAATAGACCCCTCTAGGGGGTGCTGTAGAGCAAAATGCTAGATCATCTATTTATTTTACGGAATAATAAAAATATTTCCACAAACTAAACTTGTTCGGTGTTCCTTAAAACTACTCTATGTAACATTTGGCCTTTTACTAGTTAAACCATAAAACTAAAAGTTACTTGTGGAAAAACATGTTTTCGTAATTATGTGAGTTGTGCTTCAGCTTCTCTATTCTGTACAGATGAATCTGATAGCTTGAGGCGCACTGCTATGCCCAGCTTTGGCAACACTGACATTAGTCATAACAATGTTATTCTAATGCTATTCATTTCAGATAACGATGGAAACTAAACTTGGCAAGACCATTTATAGGCAAATAGACCAAAGTAGTGACTGGTTTAGAGATTGGTACTATTACCAACATAAATATTGTTTTGTGAACCTAGTCAATGCACAGAAAATGTTATACTTTGCAAACTATGTTGATTCATGTTTTATTACAGGTAAAATGTTCGTGTTTTATTTTTAAACATGGTTTGAAAGATGGTTATATGCTTTACTTGCTCAGTATATTAACAAAAAATGTATAGTGTAGCTCAAGTCACAATGATTTGTAAAATTATATTATATAAACGTCTTTTATGCTGAAGCCATATAACTGTTCACATTTTTTCAGTAAATCACTGGAGAATCGGAGAATGTCACGCTTCTTTCTTTCAGTGTTTGTATAGTAAAAATTCCTTTCAAAAAGGTGTGTTTGAAACTGACCAAATATTAGAATGTCATAATGTTCTTGTTCATGTAAACATGGTTGTAGTGGTCCATATGAGAGAAGCTTTGAAAAAGATTAAAACTATAATGGTAAACCTATGTGCTTTCAATTTAAATTAATTAATGCCAGAAGTCTACCATAAAGTTTCTACATATTACAGATTGTCACGCATATTTTATTTTTTCCTTCATCGGTCAGTTTAACTGATTTGATTCTAACTATTAATTAACTATAGTGTTGTGCCACACCTGATTCTAACTATTAATTAGCTATAGTGTTGTGCCACTCCAGAAACACAGAGCCAGAGATGCTATTGATTACAATACAAGTAATAATACATTATACTGCTCAGTCATAAAAATGCAATTGTATTGCAAGTGCGAACAATGGTTGCAAGTGTTGGTTGCAAATGCAAGTGTATACAATAGTTTTAAGGCATGAGTGATCCCGTTTCACCACTTTCACAAAGCAAAAGTTGGTCTTTGAGCTGGCCAACAAACACTATTTGCTAATCAAATGACCAAGTAGACTGAGGAAACAAAAAACAGGAAAACAGCCTTTGGTGATCTCTTCAGGTGAAGAATATATGTTTGACTTAATATTGGCAGACAACAGACAGCAGTGGACGATTAGAGAGTATTATGAATGTCACTGTTTGCTTAATAGGTGATTGAGGATATTCATATTTACAAAAGGTGTTGTCAGCAGCACTATATTGTACCACAGAGCAACCATGGTTTGTTTGCACCAACATACAAAAGAAATGTAGATAATGTGTCAGAAATGATTACTAACACAGTGGAACACCAATTTGTGGTCAACCCAGAAAACTGAGACTTCAATGAGACTTGAAAAAGTAAGACATTACCCTGAGGACAAAAAATCTCTTCAATTTAAACTGTTCCACAGATGATGTCCATTTAGCTTTGACTGCTGTATTTGTAGAGGGCGTGGTTTCCACTTTGGCCTCAGCAGTTGGTGTGCTGGGTTTATCTGTTTCTGTTTCTGTTTCACTAGGAGATTCTTGAGGATTGATTTCTGGTTCCGGAGACTTTTCAGTTTGCTGCTCCAAGTCCACAGACTTGAATGTCTCTTCATCTTTCTCTGACATAGTGACCTAAAAGATTAGATCGTTTGCAAAGCTTTCAGTAAAATGACGCTGTCATTGAAAACACCCATAAAGCATAAACAATAAATTAAAAGAAAATGTTTTTTAAAAAGCGTCGTAAACTAAAAAAACAAAAAAACAAACAAAAAAAACAACAACTTTCTGCACTAATCAGCAGCACAACACTGCTGAAGACTAGTCCGATTCCCAAACAATGAATCTTTTAAACCGGTTCTTTTAAGTGAATAAACGTGCAACAAATGTAGTCCAATATCCGAACAAATGATTCTTATGAGCCAATTCTTTTAAATGAATCAAAACACTTATGAATCAGTTGGTGAGGTTTGACTCTGAACCTAGAACTGTGAAACCAAGAACTGTGCGATGCTGTCATGCTGGGAAACATCATTAAAATGTTCAGGTACACAAAACAGTTTTACATTTATTTCGGATTTGTTAGCTCGGCCTATGTTCGGTTGCAGTGATCTCATCGTTTGGCAACAGGCTGCTGATGACAATAAATGCCATTAAAAGTAATATTTTTTTGTCCTCAATAGTACTAAAAGAATCGTTATTATATGTCAAGAGGATTTGCAATCAAACCCAGTAATGCTAAGCAGTAGCCTATAACAATTCCCATCCATAGCATGCAACAATAAAATAGTTTTATATATTTTAAACTGCTTTAGATGCTATAATAGTTAAACGTATTATAAAATGTGGACAGGAAATGTATATCTTACCGCTGGCTGCAAGAATTAAATCAACCTGCTATTTTTTTACTAGACGGTTTGACTCGGCGTCAGGTGCAGCAGTACCTATTTCCTGCTTCCGTGTTATTCCGTGATATGAACACAGGGGCGTTGAACAGAAAACGAAACCTATCTATGACCACAGCAAATAGTATAGCTTCTACTCTTTGACCACAGCAACTGCTTCGTGTGTAGGCTATAGGAATTGCATGTTGTTCCAACCACAAGATTTTTATGTAGAACAAATTAGTTCGTAAATCTCTTAATCTTAAAATCTAATTCTGGTCACCTTGAATAACCAATCAGACTGTGGGAACACAGCCCTTTTACTTTCCCGTGTTTAATAATTCAACTAGCCACCCACATTTCTCCGGCTACACAATGAGGCATAACGCAACTGTATTTTTCTCGACAGCATTTGCGATTTTACACTTACGCCTAATCTTCTGGCAGAAATGGACATGGGAACAATTTGTCCCTCATGCTTTTCCACACATACAGCAGCTTACTCCTGTTTTGTTCCACCTTAGACGCGTCCTCCCAAAAATACCAATTCAAGCAGCCGATCGAAGCTCTCAAATATTCAGACAAACAATTATTTGAGTGGGATGTTTGGGGTTTGCTTTCTCGAGCATTAGAGCCTACAAGGCATCAAAAGGCTTCACCATTCAGGTGTCATTTTCCATTCCTGCTAATCGCTTTTGACGCGACACGCTTCGAGGCCACACGCCGCTCTTTAACTGGCCTGTTAGAGAAATCTATTCAGCCTGCTCAATGATAATTTTGTTTTAAAAAGAAATCTGCGCAGTAACAATTCCCTTTCAAAAGCATATTAACTGCGTGCATGTGAGAGAGATACTTAGTAATGTTTGTTTCACACCCCCTCTTGATACAATAAAATTATATTTTCAGATGCATAATCGAAGTAAATACTCTCA